CGCCCAGTGTGCTACCACTAGGCGCTGTCAGCAGCTGCCAGCATTTCGCACATCGCTTCTGCTGCTGCCTGCCCGCTCAGCACCGCATTCTCTATGCCGCCGCCCAAGCAGAAGTCCCCACAGGCTGCCAGCTGCGCTGTTTGTGCCTTCAGGCAGGCGCTTCCAAACGCCTTGGCAGGGAGCGCAGCACCCCAACGGTGCACCTGGCAGAGCAACACAGCAGGGGAGTGCAGCATCCATCCAAGATCACTCGTGTTCAGCAACGTGCCACAACAATTGCGGCTATTCGCGCAGGAAGCGCCCCGCCGCGTGAAGCCACGCGCCGGCATTTAAGTGCACATCTATGAGTCACCCACATATGCCTTGGTGCTAGGTGCCCAACGTGCCTGGCAGTGGCTCCGCCTTTGAGCCAGCAATGGGTGGTGCGTGGATTGTTGGCTACCGCCGCACCAAGCATTACCAGGCGACAAGGTGCAGGCCAAGCAACGTAACACGTCATGCATGACATGGCAGAGACACGACACAGCAGCAGCAGAGGAGGATGCCGGCCTGCACTCCAACCTCATGGAAAAATAAAGCCCAGGTGCCGCAGCTTCACTCGACACCAGAGCCCTGTCAGCCCACAATGGCACAGAAGCCTTGCATTGCTGGTGCGCGTAGTAACATGACTAAACATTACATAATAGCGTTATGACGCCCACCTGCACAAAGCCCGGCTCTCGCAGCTTCCCATCGGGCAGCAGCGGCGCCAGCACGCGCTGCACGGCAGCAAACATGGGCGGCACCATCTTGGCAAGCAGCTCAGGCGTCTGGCGCGGCAGCGAGCCGTCCGACGCGCGCTGCACGAGCGTGGCCGCAAACTCTGCCGTGGACAGCGCCACCAGGCACTGCATGCCGTCAGCGCGCGCGCGGCCCTGCAGCCAAAAAGAGAAAGTTCGGCTTTTTATATTAGCAGGCACTAACGAGCAGACAGGAAAGCAGCCCGGCAGACGGCTGCTCGGGGTGCTGCAGGCGGCAGTGTCCCGTTGCCCAGCGTGCCAGCGTCAAGCTGTGTGAGTGTTTCGTTCAGACGCTGGTGCATGCAGCTGCCGCCACCACTCAGCTGCTCCAGGTAGGCGCTTGGCTGGAGTAGTGGAGCCTGTGCTGGCAGCCTGCGGGCAACCATCCACACCGCACCCGCTCGCTGCCTCTCACACACTGGCACAAGGGCTGCAAGGTGGCACCACAAGCAGGGCAAGTGTTGAGATTATACATGACACCACACAGCAGCTGCAGTGCTCCCCTCCCCCCTCTCACCGGCTTGCGCGAGTCCATGCAGAGCCACTGGATCTCCTGCGAGTTCACCACTGCTGCCGCATCAAATGGCAGCTCAAGCACTGGCTTTGCATGCTGCTGCTGCTGCTGCGCGTCTTGCCCGGCTGCTGCTGCTGCCGCTGCCTGCTGCTCCAGCGGCACCTCTTCGGGCTGATATGCCATCAAGAGCGCTAGCAGCGGCGTGCTGCCGACTTGGGACATGGCCTGCTGCATTTTGTTGCCTGCTGTCGTGCCCGACAGCTCCACGTAGCCAGGGGTACCTGCGACCAGCACAACACCAGCACCAGGCGCAGCAAGCACAGCTCGTCACAGATGGCACGCGGCACGGCTGATGCACGATGCGGTGAGCAGCTGCTGAACTTGCTGCCTGAAGCCAGTGCAGGCGGTGCCAGCTGCTCCAACAGTGTGCAGCTGACGTAGGCAGGCTCGCAACAGAGCATTGGCCGTACCAGACAGCGGCACCCAGGTGCAAGAGGGCAACAAAAAGCAGCATGCACTTTACTGTTGCATGTGAGCATGCGACACCGCTCGCAGCAGGCACCGCTCCCTCATGCCTGAGCCAAGGGCATGCATGACCCAGCCGGGCGACTCTGCGTGTACCAAGATCAACACGATGCCCTGTGCTGCGCAATTGTGTTGGTTGCGGTGCGTGCTTAATCAAAAGAGGTGCTGCATGTTGATGCGGCGCACTGTCCGAAATGGCGGCTAAGACCACTTGTGACTACTCCGTTCAACTTCAGGCACGTCCGCACAGATGCATCAACCGCTGGGGCATCCAAGCAATGTCTTACAGCCATCTACATCATATGTACAGCGTAGTTTGTGACGATGCTGATCGATGACATGTGAGAAGCCAGGTGGCACATTGTCATACTATATGACACTCTGTTAAGCCACAGCTTGAGTAACAACTAGTTTCCTACTTTGTAACAGTTTGTTAAACCCCCGCGATGAGCCAATGCCAAACTGAGTTCAGTTCTAACCTGGCCTCGGGCACACCAAAAGTACAGTTGAGCTGCGCATGAGTTGTCTTTTGCAGCTCACCGGCGCACCCCGTCATAGTATGCGACACCCTGTTGAATTCAAGCTCAAGCAATGTCGTGTGTTCCAACTTGTGACAGCTTGTCATTAGCGTAGTTGAACTGCACATGAGTAACCAGACCTCACCGCTGCACCCCGTCATCTTGTCGGCCAGCACCAGGCCGTCAAACACGCCCAGGTTCCAGGGCGTCACCGGCGGCTGCTGCTTCACGTCTGACAGCGTGCGCGAGGGCGAGCGCACCGCCCCCTCCAGCAGCCACTTGCGGCTACTGGCATCGTACACCGCCTTGGCCACCTGCAGCCAGGGGTGAGCGTGCGACAGCATGCGCAGCGCGCTGTGAACTGCTCGCCAATTCCATGCGTTTTGGCAATCCATGACTTGTCAAATCCATTCAGGAAAGGGTTTTATTTGCCACTTGATGTAACAGAAATGTCTGTGGTGAAGTGTCTGTGCTGGTGTGTGCTGCTGGAGTGCGCACCCGGCCCGCTGCAGCAGCCGCTCGTGGGTGCTGGTGTCAGTCGCTGCCTCGGCCACCTGAGGCGATGCGCTGATCGCTCAGACGACAACATGCATGGTACCACCTTGATTTGAGCAAGTGGCCGATAATTTGGTCAACCATTCACAAGCGATTCTGAACCATGGAAAGGTTACACAACCTAGCAAGGGAGGTGGTCTCAACAACAAACACTCCCGGGCCACGCTGTTTTGGTACGCTAGCCACACTGCTGACCGCATGGCAGCTTGACCGGCTGTGATGAAGCTGGGATGAATCACACCCAGCTGCATAAATGCAGACACAAACTGCTGTTACCAAAAGCTCCTGCCTGCTTGCAGAACCAGCAGCCGAGCACCTGCCGGGCCTTTGCTGGGCGCTCAAGCAGCTACTGCTGAGCTTGCCTGCATCACCACCATAAGCCCCAGCGTTAAGAGCCCCCCTCACCTTCACGTCGTTGCGCACTGCGGCGTGAGAAGCTGCTGCGAGGTGGCTGGTTATGGCGTCACTCGAAGGGCAGCCCACATACAGCGGCCCAGGGTCCAGCACATCTAGGAACCTGGAAGTAACAGGCGGCGTGCAGCTGTACTCTCGGCGTGAAGACACCAGGGAATGACGGGGTGAAGCGTTGGCAGACACCAGTTATGGCTTGGTACTACAGGGAAGTCCAGGGCTCAGCGCATCAAGACACCCTGGCAGCGCGAAGCAGCAGACATGTACTTGCACGCGCTTGCCGCTCCAGCAGCCTGACCGCAATGCACTGCCGGGCTCACTGCTGCCTGCAAAATTTGTCACCCCTCTGACTCCACTGCACAGCCCCTGCCACCCGCAGACCCTGCCCCACATGTGCTACTCACTCACAGCTCACCCTGCATCACTTGCTGCGCCCTGCTGCTGCTGCTGCTGCTGCTGCTGCCACTGTGCACGTGGTGTAGCTGTGCCGCTGCGTGCGTCGTAGCGCACCGCTGCCTCCTCATCCCAACGTGCCAGCGCTCCAGCTGCTAGCCACTCCTCACAGATCGCCCTGAATGCATCGCTGACTGGCCTCACAAACTGCAGACCGTGGTCAAACTGCAGACCCTTCCAGGTCGTCCTGCGGGTGGTGAGGCGGCCGCCTGCACGTTGTAACAGTAAATGACAAGTAGAATGACAGTCGTAATCAGGCTGCGTAGGTGGTGGCGGAAGTAGAGGGTGAGCTGGTAGCTAATGTAGCGCTGTTTGGGAGAACAGGTGCTGCAGCTGGGCAGTTCCCACCCTTCTGCTCTGGATCATTCAACTTGTCAAGCCAAGCCGGCACAGGCATCATATGGGTAACTGCACTGATGTAGCTGAGCACATTACGCTGGGGTTGGTATCATTGCCACTGCTACTGCTGCTGCTGCTGCTGCTGCTGAGCCAGGCTATGCCACGCCAGCTGCACTTGCCTGGGGCGAACTTGCCCATGTCAAACACTGTGACAGCATGGCCCTGCTTTGACAGTACGTACGCGCAGTGCAGCCCGCTCACGCCCCCTCCCACCACAGCAACGCGTCGAGTGCCACTAGCAGACATAGCCACACACCGCACTCCTGCTGGGCTGATCGCACTTGCGTTGATTTGTCCGAAAACTCGATTCACTATTGTACTGCAGAGCATAATAGGAGTGCACAATGAGCTGTAACTAGGATGCAAGGGAACGCTGGATGCAGACCTCGCCTGCGCTAGTTGTATCGAGCAAGATCCCCCATATAATGCAGAGGCATGCGGTTGCAACTTGAATATATTGCGACATAGAAAGTCATGTGACCTGAGCTGTACAACAATAAGCGGCATGCCGGTGTTCCTCTAGGTGACACGCAAGCACAGCTGCTGCTCTGTGCTAAACCCCGGCAAGGCTTGGGTGAGACCACTTTGAATATTGCGAGATGCAGCTGATGATAGGCGTGGCAGGCTGTGACCAGCAGGCGAACAGACAGCACCATATATGGTGCATGCATGCTCAGGTGCCTGAGGCCAATCTACGCAGTGCTTGCATTCCTGCTACATTGACCAGGGCTGCACTCAGGATGCTGATAAGCGCCGTTCGAGTACGTTGCAGCAAGCATTGGAATGACGGCATGTCTTGAGAGCACCACACAGCCTTTGAGTCATTCACCTGTACAAGGAATAAAAGGGGGCATCCGGGAATCGAACCCGGGACCTCTCCCACCCGAAGGGAGAATAATACCACTATACCAATGCCCCAGCATTGGGGGTGAGAACATGCCTGCCATGTACAAAATTCAACTAATAAAAGAAATTGGCTTGTTCGGGGTTTAGGTTTTAGGGTTTAGTCCCCTGTGTAACCCCTCTCTCTCTTCAGGGTTTAGTCCGGCGGGACGTTAAACACGTGGCTCAGTGGTTAGAGAGCCTGGCTCCTAATCTCGAGGTCTCGGGTTCGAACCTCGCTGAAGTCGAAAGCGCTCAAAAATACTCGAGCGGCTCATTGGTGCGGCCCACCCACGTTGTCGCCCAATCGAGTGGTAGGGGGGTTTCGGTGGTTTACCCCTTACCCGGAGAGGAGAGGAGTCTGGGTAGACCATTCAAAGGTCGTGTACTGCGCACTGCAGTGCTTGAAATCCCGGACCCGCACACCTTTCTTTTCTTTCTTCCACACCCATGCTCCCCCCCCCCTTGTTTGCTGCCTCGGACCAAGGTATTGACCTTACTGGCCAACTTTGTCCCGTTGAGTTCAGCCCGCCCGCTGTACTGCACAAGTATGGCCTGCTGTCACCGACACTGTTTTAGGTTAGTCATGCTGCTTGTCCCAATAGAATTCTACACTGCGTGTTGTGAGTCTGACGGTTCGGCCTGCAGAGCCACGTGTCATGTCTCGCGCACAGAGGCTTTCTCGGGGTGGGCCTCTTTTGGGTGACAGTCTGTTTTTCCGCTGAACTTCTAGCAGCTCTCTTTGTTTTTCGGGTGTTCGTTGCGACGTAGTCGCCTGTGCACACCATGTAACCCCTCTTCTTCCGCTACGCATAGAGGCACAAGCCTCCCGTTACATTGCTGCTGCTGCTGCTGTTGCTGATGCTGCTGCTGTAGCTGCTGCGGCTGCTGCTGTTGCTGCTGTTGCGGCGGCTGCTGCGGCTGCTGCTGCTGCTGCTGCTGCTGCTGCTGCTGCTGCTGGGAAGCAAATTGTCTGCGGTCCATGCCTCTACTGGACACAAAGTTAAAATCGCCCAGAAAAATCAGGCCAGTGGCTGGTTGTTGTCGATGTTGTTGGTAGAGCTCCCGCAGAGGGCCGCTGATGATGGCTGCATTTGCTGCGGGATCAGATGCGTGCATGTAGATGCCCACCACCTGCAGACGCTGCCCTGCCCAGACTAGAGGCACACACAGCATCCTGCCCTGGGCAGGGCCGTCAACAGGCGCATGTACCTCCCCCTGCACCTGCAAGGCCCCACTGGCGAGAAGGCTGCTGCGGACCAGAACTGCCACGCCGGCTCTGGTGCGACCCTGACCTGGAAGCCCCACACACCAAAACGACGACCAACCCCGTACCTGCAGCCGGCGTTGTACCGCCGGCCGCTCCATGAAGTTAACGTGTGTATCCACCGCCGCCACAACGTCCAGGCCCAGCTGCTGCCACTGACTACTGAGCGCTGGTAGCTTGTTGGCCAAGCCATTGACGTTGTGTAGGCCCATTCTCAGGTATGGGCCTCTAGGCATGGGACACGGAGGGCATGGCCGCCATCACCAGCTCGCGTGCTGCTGCAGGCTGGGTCGGCGGGCTAGAGCCGTCAAGCTCCAGATTGCTGGACGATGCGGATGTCGGCAGCTGCTGTTGCTGCTGCTGCTGCTGGTGGCTGTGGTGCTGCGGCTCCCGGGTGGCACGCTCAGCCCCCTTAGACGCCGCTGACTCCACCGCGCTGAACTTACGCGGAGGTGAGAGACTCCGCGTGTCACGCGCGGTGACACGTTTGACAATGCAGGCCCCTGCCTGCTCCTGCTGTTGTTGTGGCTGCTGCTGCTGCTGCTGCTGCTGCTGTTGCTGCTGCTGCTGCTGCTGCTGCTGCTGCCGCTGCTGCTGCTGTGGCTCGGCCTCCCTCTCCACAGCTACAGCGGCTGGCCGCGCCGTGCGCCGCTGCTGCGTAGCCAGCGGGACGCTCACTCGCTTGGGGTTCTGCGGCTTGCGTAGGTTCTTGACCGGTTTAAGCGGCGTGGCCGGCGGAGCGCGCCGTGGCCCCCCGCGCCGCAGCAGCTGCCGCAACAGCTGCTCCTCCTGCACCGGCTGCCGTTGCCGCTCCTGCCCTGGCGCCGCAGGCACGGCAACTGCCGGGGCATCAGAACCCGCTGCCGGCAGCGCCGCAGTCGCCGCTGGTGCGGTTGCTGCTGAACCTGCCTCCGATGCTGCTACAGGTGTTGCCGCGGCCGCCGCTGCCGCTGATGGTGCTGCTGCTGACGGTGCCGCCTCCGCTGCCTCCGGCTCAGGATCAGCGGTCGACATAGCCGCCCTCTCCACAGCTACAGCGGCTGGCCGCGCCGGGCGCCGCTGCTGCGTAGCTAGCTGGACGCTCACCCGCTTGGGGTTCTGCGGCTTGCGTAGGTTCTTGACCGGTTTAAGCGGCGTGGAGTGAAGGAGTGATCCGCCCTGTGCGCTCGGCGCCGCTGCAGCCGCTCAGCAGCAGCAGCCTGTCGCTGCTGCTGATGGCGTGCTGCTGGCTGTGGCTGCTGCCGCTGCTGCTGCTGCTGTCGCTGCTGCCGAGGGCCTGCTTGCGACCCCCCTGCCTGGCCTGGAGACGCTGCTGTAGTTGCTGCTGCTGCTGCTGCTGCTGCTGCTGCTGTCGCTGCTGGGGCTTTTGCTGCCTTCGCTGCTTTAGCACCCGCTCCAGAGGACGAAGCTCCTTTCGCCGGCATTCTGATTGATTATCTAGGATATCAGCGATGCGTTCAACACACACCCATGGAAGTGAGGCACCTCCGGGAGCGAGAGGCCGCCCCCGGGGCAGAGCGATATGGCCAAGCACGCCGCTACACAGGCATCAGAACGCGATTTCAGAAATATCGGTGGCAGAAAATTGGTTTTTGAGAGAGGAAGAGGGGTTACATAAGTGGGGACAGCTGAGAAAGTGGAGAGCTGAGAAAGTGAAGTGAAGTGGAAGACTGGCTTATTGTAAAGATATGCAGGAAAACACACTTAGCAAAGACAATGCAGCAGACATGCAGACATGCAGCAGACAATGCAGCAGACATATAGAGAAGAAGGGGTTACAAGGTACAGACATATAGAGAAGAAGAAGGGGTTACAAGGTGCGTTCAAGCAGCTACGCCGCAACGGGCACCAGAGTTGAAAAGATTGCTAAAAGCTCAGCACGGGCCGTCACTCGAAAGGAGGCCCACCCCTAGAAAAAGCCTCAGTGTGTAAGTTTCGGCATTTGGCCATGCATGCACAGCCGCCTTCCTTACTCCACGCAGTATTGCCCCCACAAGAGTACCTCCAGAGGAGAATTGGTGTCAGTGGAAATCAAGTGCTGCCAACAGTGTCAGTGACGGCATGCAGTGCTAAAAGTGCACAGGGCCGCCATGCACTTCCGGCACTGCGAGCAGGCTGGGCTCTCAAGTCACTACACCACCCCGGGCGTCACCCCGTTAAGGGTGATGAGGACTAGAGGCAACAAGAGGGTAACTGAGCAGCAAAAGACTGTAGGGCTGAGAATCAGACACGGCAACCGCATATTGCAGTGGCATGCTAGTGGCTACCAACAAAGCCGGACAACCTTGAACTGACCAGGGGCAAGGATCAAAGCAACAGCAACAATGCACGCTCAGAAGAAGGGTGGCAGTAGCAACGGCAAACCAGAGAACAAGGTACAGACATATAGCAGAAGAAGAAGAACCCCCAGGGTTGTCAACCCCTGGTTGGGTATCCCGCTTTCCATGTTAATTCATGGAGTCAACCGACTACGTCGGCCGGAGGCAACGAATCCATTCCCCCTGTGTTTAACGGGACTCTTCTGCCGGCAATCCGGCAGCCCACCGCTGGTTCTTCTGTCGGGGTAAGGGGCAAACCTCCGAAATCCCCTTACCACCCAACAAGGCAACGAATCCATTCCCCCTGTGTTTAACGGGACTCTTCTGCCGGCAATCCGGCAGCCCACCGCTGGTTCTTCTGTCGGGGTAAGGGGCAAACCTCCGAAATCCCCTTACCACCCAACTATGCCGCAACCGAGAATCGATCCGGGAACCGAATCGTCTGGGGAGGGCGACACAGGAGGGCCGGCCAAGTTTTTTTGCAGCCGCCGTTCCGACCCAGAATCGAACCTGGGACCTAACCCAGGCCCTGGTTGAGAGCCAGCCTCTCTAACCACTGAGCCACGTGTTTAACGTCCCGCCGGACGATATAGCCGTTACTATATATATAGGCGTCTGCAACTCCTTAAGTAGGGCAAAATCCCCTAGATTGGTGGGGGGCGTTCTTTGCTACTGCGCCTCATGATACAGACATTCCATGGGTCAACATTGGCAGAGCTTGCCTGCGCTCCAAGTGTTGTTGGTGGGGCCCTCTGGCTCTTTTTGACTGCGCAGCTGACACCCAATCACCAGCTGAGTGGGCTGGGGTGCCGCCGCCACCTTTGCGCCGCATGATCTCTGGGCTGCAAGCACTGGGGGATGTGTGTGATGTGCAACAGCAGCAGCAGCAGCAGCAGCAGCAGCAGCAACCGCAACAACAACAGCAACAACAGCAACAGCAGCCAGCGCTGCCGCTACAACAGCAGCAACCGCTGCTGCTACAACAGCAGCAACCGCTGCCGCCACGGCAGCAGCAAGCGCTGCCGCTACAGCAGCGGCAAACGCTGCCGCAACAGCAGCAGCAGCAGCAGCAGCAGCAGCAGCAGCAGCAGCAGTAGCAGCAGCAGCAGCAGCAGCAGCCTTTGCAGACGCAGCCGCCCCTGCCTCCAGAGCAGCCGTCCCCAGGTTTGGGTCAATTGCGCCAGCAGATGGCTGTTCTTTCCAGTGCCCCGGTTCTACAGCCTGGGCCTTGGTGTGCTCTGGCCCCTGTCTTTGCCAATTGTTTCCTGCTTGGGGGTATCCCTGGTGCTAGGCCGGGTGGTTTGCATGTGTTGCCTGTTCCGCCGGCTAGAGGTGCATTCTACTACACGGGCGGGAAGGTCAGGCCCACCGTTCGTACACTTGGGGATTTGATTAGGTCTCATCGTGTGATTGAACGTGTGGTACAAGCCAAACTGCCCCACCCTCTGATC